GTGGAAATTTGTAGAAAATCCACTTGTGAGGGTCTTCAAATCTGACCCAAGGTCTCAGGTAAGCTCTGCAGACTGTGAAGGTGTCTTCTGTAAGAAAAGAAAATAACCCACTCTTGTATCTCAGTATTAGCCCTTAGCAGCTCCAGCTGAGAAAGGGAGGGAGGGTACAGATCCCAGCAGAAATGGAAATAAAAGCAGCACAGGCTAAAATGCAGAACCTGCAGCTGAGGATAATGCAGCAGTTACAGGTTGCAGCTTGGAAAGGCAGGGGGGTCAGGCTGTGGAAAAGAAGTTGGATGTGCTATTTTTGTAGAAAAGGAGAGGTTTTAGGTAGGATGCTGTTGGAACAGAAGCTATTCCCAGGCAGGGGAGGTCATTGGTCTGGTTTTTGTTTCCCTCTGTAAGGGAGTGGGCAGCTGAGACCTGCACAGGCTGTTCAGCGTTCAGGAAGTGCTCTTCCCACCCTGGATCCTTCATATCCCCTGGTAACAGTTACTGATGCCTGACTCCAGAAGCCTGCATGAACTTCAACCAGGCTGTGGGTGGAGATTTCTCCATATGGGGTGCAAAAATCTTTAGAGGCCAAATTCTGTCCTTGACAGTTAACTTCTGTACAGCCCCAGCACCTTGATGAAAGCAGTGTCACAGGGAACAGACGCTCCCAGCCCCAGATCACCAGCTCTCATTACTTTATATAGCACCCTCAGCGTCCATGGACAGAAAGGATGCCGAGTACCAGCAGAACCAAATCTTCCCAAAATAAGGAAAAGAGCATATTGTATAGTTAAGGTAACAACAAAGGAAATAAACACAGAAGGAAGAAAATTTAAAACAAACCCAAAATATTAACTACCAAAAAAAAAAAAAAAAAAAAAAAAAAAAAAAAAAAAAAAAAAAAAAAAAAAAAAAAAAAAAAAAAAAAAAAAGAAAAAAAAAAAAAAAAAGGAAAAAAAGGAAAAAAAAGGAAAATATGAATGATGGCTTTGGAATAGTAGCTTTCAAACTTCAACAATGTGATTTCTCATCAATCTTTTACTCATCACACTTTACAAGAGTGTGCCTTGGGATATTTTAGACATAGTTAGCTATTCTTATACTTAATTGCAAAAAGAAATAACTACATTTTTACTTACCTTCTCAGCTTGGCTGTCAGAGAAAAGGATGAAAATACACAACATGTTTTAAACCTTTTCCAGCTCCTAAACAACAGAAATACATTGCAGTGTTACTGATAACACTGATCATGTTTATGACTAGAAAACTCTGGATCTGACTCTGCAACTTTTAACTCAGAGAAGGAGATTCTGTTCCAACAATCCTTTGGAAGTTAAGGGGATTGCTGGGTTATTAAGGACAATGTGTATCAATTTCGGGTTGTAGGAGTAAGGCTGTTCTCTCACTGTGTGTGATACTCAATTTACATGGGCGATTGCCAACAACTTACAATCATTATCATTGTCTGTATTATTCTAACAAATAGCATCAAAGAGCCTGTTTACTGGAAAAAAAGGGCACTCCTCTTATATTTGATTCGCTAAAGCAGAAACCAAATCTGATTTCTGTTCTCCGGCTGACACCTTACACAGATACTACGTCCAGTTCAGCATGCGACTTAGTTGATGTAACAAACCCCGTTAGCTGGAATAAAACTGCCACCTGACAGTGAAAACTTGTTGGAAACTGCCTTTCACTCCACGTTTTCCATCGCTGCTGGGATAGCTCTGTGGTCCCCCTGCCCGCGCCTGCTGATGCTCCCGGGCTCGCCGCCTCACCCAGTGTCCGCAGGCTCCCGGGACAAGCGGCTCAAAGGCGGCTGGATGTCCCTTTCCCCGCCGGAGCCGGCGGTGGCCGCTCGGAGCCCACGCCGGAGGTGCTACTCACCATGACGGCGAACACGAAGGCGACGATGTTGACGGGATAGGCGGGACAGAAGCAAGAGAGGATGCTGAGGAGCAGGTAGCTCTTGGGCCGCGGCTGCGGCGGCCCGTCGGGCAGCTCATCCTCGATGTTGGTCTCGGGGCTGTTCTCCAGAGCCCGCTTGATGTCGGCGCCGGCGGGGAGCGCGGACATGGGGCTGCGGTGCGGCGGGCGGGCGGCGCGGAAAGCCCAGCGCTCCGGGCGGGCGGGACCGAGCGGCGCCGAGCCAAGGGAGCCGCCCCGGGACGGGGCCGGGCGGGGCGGGGGGGCTCCGCGGGTCTCGGCGCGGGGCTGGGATCACGGGGAGCGGTGGGAAGAACGCCGATCCCGACGCCGCCCGCCGGGGTTCCCAGCGCCCCGTCCCGCGGGGTCCCCGCGCTGCTCCCGCCGGCCCCGGGAGCGCCCCCGGCGCTGCTGCAGCGCGGCCGGGGCGCAAAACCTGCGGCTGCTCCGGCCTCCGCGGAACTTCTTCTGCCCCTGCAGTTAAAGGATTTAAGCCGAGTTTGCACAACTCCCGGGAGAGCTGCGCTGCGTTCTTAAACTCGCCTTTCCAAGCGTCCGAGACGCTTCAGCAAGCGGGGTAAAGCCCGCAAAGACATTTCCTCGCATCTGGACTGAATTTGCCATCTTCTAATCCCAGCCTCTTGCTGAATTTAGCAAAATCTTTGAAGAGCAGCAGAAACTAACGAATTTAAAACATTAAGGTCGATTTTTTAGCAAATTATTCCGTTATTACTGAACATGACATCGGTAAGGTGAAACCCATTGTGGGGGATGCACGAAAGTGAGCAAGGAAATCAATATTATCTCTAAAACCTAATATATGGGGGAAAAACCCCCAAACAACCACAAGTAAATAAAGATCTATTTCCATAATGGTTTTCAAGTTGGTGAGGAATGACATGGCAGCCTATACTGAGAAAGGAACAGGCTGTTTCTGCTATGTAGTCCTAGGAAAACCTTCACACCTGTATCAGCAAAATAGAGACTTTTGGTCAGGTGAAGGCCGAAGTTGAGATTTTGCTCTCACTGGCTCATCCTGAGAGCATTTCATTAATTAAAGTTAAAAAAACCAGTAAGGTGTGCTTACAGCTTTATGAATGAGAGGCTTTTGTCCCCAGAAGTTTTGCAATAGACTTGAATGGAGCCACCCATCCCTGTTCTGGATGTTATCCTACAAGATGTGGCACAGTAAAGACTTTTATAAGGAATAAAGGTGCAGTGTTTTCACTTTCACAGACATTAATCATCTCTCAGCTGCATGTCTGGAATATAACACAGAGTGAGAATCTGCTGATCTCTCAAAATGTCAAAAGAAAAGGTGGTACATCTTTAGGAAAGAGTAAGAAAGACCAGCTCCCATCTGCTTGCCAACGTAGCCATTAATGTTCAGGCACAAGCTCTGTGCAGCTGTAAAATCTCGGATCTGTTTGTTCTCAGGGGACTTTAAACACACTCACCAGACAAGTGCAGGAAAAACAGTTCACATCACACCACACAATTACTGTTGGGGCTGATTTCAGTAGGGATGGAGTCCATATCCTCTGCCAGGGATCAGCATCTTCCAGGGCCCCTCAAGCCTTTAATCCACGAGTACACTTTCAGGACTCATTATAATGGTTAGAGTTTGAGTTTGCCTGCTGGTGGTTGAAACAGAGTTAAATAAGAACCTGTTACCTCGTGACTGTGAAAATCCAGGGGCTTAGGGGGCAATTTGAGCCATCCAAGGTGGACATAAACAAGGACAACAAAAAGCTGTGGCAAATCAACTCTGAGGAGAAGGCAAAGTTGTGTGCAGAGATCAGCCAGAGAAACGTGACCCTGGGCTGTGAGGAAAGGATGTAGATCCTTCCTGTTTAACATCAGACATTGAGTTTTAGTGCTTTTCCAGGAGACCTCCAAGATGGAGTGATCCGGGGACTGGCAGAGTCACCAGTGACATCAACAACCTGTGTTAAATCTTCCTCTGAGGACAATGAAGTTCAGGTAGAATTTGGGCTCTGTTAAGCTGGACTGTGTGAATCCCTTCCCAGGTCTCTCAAAGGCACAGATCTAACAGTAGAACCTGGTGTTTCTTGTGTGTTTCTAGAAACTGTAAAGTTTAATTGTTCAAACGAGGCTGCTAACAGATGCTAATGGATTGCAGAGAAAGCAGGAGATAGGAAGTGGTGAGCTATTCAGGGCCAATTTGTGCTAATGAGAGCTCATTAAGAGGTTCTTGAGATAAAGGTTCTGTCAGGAGGCAGTTAGTGTGGCTGAATTTAGCGGTTTGTGTAGAAGATGGGTTAAAATCCAAGAACTATGTCCTGTTAGGATGAGACTGATTAAATTTTAAACGGCACTGACTTGTAGCCACTTACCGAGGTGAGGAAAAGGAAGGAGGTCCTCAGCCAACATTTTGGGTTCAAAGGCTGCAGTGAGGGGGGCAGTTACAGCCCCGAGAGCCTCGCAGAGGTTGTAACCTCAGAGGGAAGAACCACTGCGCTGAGACGGCTCAGCAGAAAGCTGTGAAAGTGATTTAAGAACGTGAGCTGAGAGTTCTAAGATATAGTTCCATGAACAATCATAAAAACAGCCTTCCAAGGGAATGAGTCAGAGTACCCAATATTGCTGCTTACAGCCTTGCACTTCATGCTGAGACTTGAAAGAGAAACTGATCACTCTGCACAGAGCAGCAATTTTCCCAGGGATATGAGTAAGGCAAAATCATGGATAAATTGTTTATCACGATGGGCAAAGCAGATGGGCCAGAGACATGGCAGTTGCCAAATGCTTTTTTTTGGAAAGGTTTCCTGATTTCAGATGCTATGGCTTGCCAGCAAGATTCCTTGTATGGTGGAATATGGTCTCTCCACCATATTTTGCTGTATTCCTGGCTGGTAGGACTCTCCTCAAAGGCACGTTAACAGCCCAGAGTGATCCTGCAAAGAAGTTCCAGTGTCTGGAACACATTGAAGACCAAAAATGGCAGTTTAAAGCCCAGAGGTTCTTTGAGCCTCACATGTATGTCCAGACATGAAACAGTAACAGGCAAAAGGCACATCAGGCTCCAAGCTGAGTTCTACTTACCTGAAAAAAAGTATTCTCATCATCTTCCAACATTTAGCCATGCTTTGTCTTTCTTGAGAGGACAGAGAACCTCCCTACCTTCTAAGGGAAGAAAAATATATAAACTAGAAATGAAGTAATTTGGTGCCTAAAATTCTCATACTGCATCCATTGCACAGTAATTTAAAGTTCTTATATACTTCATCACAATATCTCATGATAGTAAAATCCATCCCTGCTTTGGAGGAAAGCCCATGGGGTTTGAATTATGCATACACAGCAGGGCTGTTTCTCCTGTCACATAGCTCAATATAACTCTTCCCCTTACCCGAAAGGGGGATCACCTGGAGATGGGACACAAGAGGTTGGATGGAGGCCTCCCATATTCCAAAAAGTAGTATTTTGGCTTGGTTTAATACATCCTTCTACAGAAATATTCTGCAGGGGAGCAGTGGAAAACTAAGCCACCCTTCTCTCATCAAAGACAATTCTGTATCTGGTCATTCTGATCTTGCCAAATGTGTGGGAACCTCCCTTCTCTGCTGGCTGCCCATCCTCAGGATTGCCAGGTCCCTCAGCAACACTTCCCAAACTCAGGGACTGTGGCTATGAAGGAGCACAGCCAGAGCTGCAATATTGGTTCTTGGTTTGTAAAGTTGGAAGGAAATCTGTGCCACTCCAGCAGCCACTGGAGAGAAATGGCTCCCTGTCTGCCAGGCAGGCACCAGTGTCTCCAGCTTTTCCTCTTTGCAGGTCTCCTGCTAAATCAGTTCTTTCCTTGGTACATTTTGGTGTCCAAAATTGCTTTGCACTGATAAACCTTTGCTTGGAAGCCTCTATTCATAGTGAACTGAGTGAACTGTCTTTTTAACTCCTGCCTGAACTTCAGCTGCAGAAATCATTCCATCCCACCTTCCTTTTTTTCCCCAGAGGTATTAAACACAATTTGGTTTGTTAAAGTTTTGTTTACTAGCAGGATTTGGAAAACAGCCATAATGCTTTTGTTTTAGGTGTTTTAGTATCTTTTAGCTGCTCTTGTGTTTGTGAAGCTTGTAGGCAGAAGCATTTTGTTCAGACATTTTGTTGAGAGCACTAAACTGAAGCATGAGTAGAAATGAAAAGGGAGAGGTTTGGAGGCTGCTTAAACTCCTTCTCATTTGGTAATTCCAAACGAATATATGAATCAAATTACTTGTCAACAATATGCAAAGGAAACAGCTCCTTGTTGCTGCTTTTGAAGTGGACAGAGTTTAATATGTGGCATATTAAGCAGTGGAAACTGTAATGACTGGAAGGATGCACATTCCCTTCCTTAGAAATTATGGATCAGGACTGGCTTTGCTGCTGTATTTCTGTGAGTGTCACTGAGTCAGCAGTGGCTGTGGGACTCTACTCTCTACACTGATGCTGTAATAGGTATTGCGAGAGAAATGCTTTTCTCAGTTTAAACCAAACTTTGCAATTTCACCCTTGCAGCTGCAGATTCCCATTTCTCATTGTGGGCCACAGCTGAGGGCTGTGGCTTTGGAAACACCAAAGATTTGTGATGAGCTGTTAACTTTGGTAAATTATTTATGGTAAATAAATGTGTGACCAGTGAAATGTTCAGATAAAAATGAAAGTTACCTTCAGAGTCTGAGATTGCTTTTTCATTCAGTGATAACCTGGAATGCTATCACAATTTGTAGTCATTAAAAAGTTGACTGTGCAAGCCTGCAAGAGCTCAAACACATGTGAAGATGTCTTGGGGTGTTTTCCATGATCTGTCCTTTTCCATTCTGTCTCCTGGCTTCTGACCTGTGTGATGAAGTCAGATATCAACATTAGAGGATCTGTTCCAGCAGCTCAGACAGTGCTGGGCATCTGCTCAGTGCCATGGGGGACCTGTGCTGTGAGGAGCCCTGGTTTCATCTCAGTGCTCCACTTCCCTGCAAACCAGTTCATGTTCTTGAAAGCTTTTCTCCTTGTGACTGGCAAGACAGTCTGTTGTAGTACTGAAAGGGCAGGAGTTTATCTTACCTCACTTTAATGCTCTGAAAACAGAGCATCAAAACTCAGCTCAGTCAAACTTCCTTCAGAATCCACGTGGAGAGTTTCTACAAGGGAGTTTGATAGCAGATACCTTTTCATTTATAGGCTTCTTTTAAACTGGACACCTAATTTTTCAGATTTCCTGCCGTGAGGATTCATTTCAGATGTGGCTGTGCAATGCAGTGCTGTGAATCCAGCCTTTTGGAAATATTACAGACCATTTATTGTCTATGAGTTCATGAAAACTATTTATAACAAACTTGTTAGTTTAAGAATTTGAACAATTTTGCCAACTTGAGTGGTATCTCTATCATTAAAGAAACTACAAACTGATTTGTAGAGGCAAATATTGGAACATTCCTCTTTTGAACGTTTTTCACAAATTCAAGCGTTTATGGAAATATTTTGGGGTTGTTTAATATTATCTCATATTTCATTAATAAAGGTATTTGACAGACAATTAATTTGATTAGTTCCCACTCCACAGTCAGCCTGGAATCTTTTCATGGACTTCTCTGGTCAGCTCCAGCTTCACACAACACAAGCAACAGGAAACCACAGGCAGGGCTGTGCATAGTTATGTTACAAGCAGGATAAGTCTTGAACAAAAGGCTAAATACACCCATTAGGGAAAGTTTGGATCTGAACTCACATCTGAACTTGTGGGAGGAGCTGAATACTAATTGTTCTATAAATATTTAATATACCTAGCACTTTCCCATTGTGTAGCATCCCAAAGGAGGCATCTTTCCTTTTCTCACACATACACACCCGTACTCTTCTTTCATTAAGGGCTCCCAAATACAGTAATTAGAACAGTCATCAGATTTGCATCTGGCTGATCAAGGCCACTCCAGCTTTATTTCAATGTAATTGCAGTGGCCTCAGGTGCACTGGGGAACACGGCCCAGGGCTCAGGTAATTATTGTGCCAGAGATCATTTAATGAGGAAAAAGAAGTGAGCACTTTGTGGGATAGGAACCCACCAGGAAATAACCTGCTTGTAAACATAACAGGACCTTGATATTTTTCCTAATTTGTACATTACATTTATCACAATTAAAAAAGTTCAAATGCATGAGTTCAATGTGTTTGTCCTCTGATACCAAGACAAGTCACGGTACAGACACCAGCACATCAGATTGACAAATAATATCCCCAAATATTCTGGTTTGGGGCAGAATTGCCATGCTATGCTGCATGACTGTCAAAAATCCAGGTGCAGTTGTCACAGGGCAAAAGCTCCTCGGAGGAGCTTGTGGATTTCTGTGAGGGTGAGGGGCTTTTACTCCCCTTCAGATACAGAAACTGCAATTGTAGGGAAAGATTAACAGCTCCTTGCCCATGACTGAGGAGTGTGACTGCCCACTGCTCATGCCCACAGAGCTTCCATGCTGAATGGTTGTCTTGTTAATAGTTTCAGTATTTTCTTTTGACACCTCATGTGTGAGAAAATCTGGTAACTCTCTCATGGAATTTGTAGAGGGCTTCCAAAAAAGTTGAACAACTTTCAGCCCTTGCTCATGCCCTGGATTCTTTTTAGAAGCCTGCAGTAATCAAGTCTGGTTTTTTACAGGAGCAAAAGCTTTGTTTTCTGCCATTTTTCTCTCAGCCACTTAGATTATGTGTGTCACAGTTCTTCCTCTTTTCTACAAGAAATGGGAGCTGCTGGACATTGTTTTAATGCAACGTTTTCATTACAAAATATGTATATTTCCCTTAGCTTCACCCTGCCCTCCTCTGTAAGCATGGTTTGAAGAGCCACAGATAAGGAACAGCAGCCTTTGAAAGGCAAGGATTCGCTGGAATAGTCTGAGAAATGTTTTAATAAACTCTCTGTGTTCAATGTTTTGATGATTGATACAGTAACCTGGTCCTAGAAATAAATTAGGTGCTGGAGTGGCCAACCACGATGAGTTCTTTTAAAAATCTGCTACAATTTATGGCACAATGACCAAATCTATAATGTAATGGTTGGGTGTAATTTACAATGTAATGTACTAAAATACAGCCAGCCTAATAAAAAGCCATATAATTTGCATGGGAAAGAAACAACCATTTGCCAGAGGTAAAAAAATAAAGATGTCAACAAAGAGAAAAGGATTTCTTTTCAGCCTTCCCCAATATCAGGTCTAATCTTTCCCCTGTGAAGTGCACTGCAGAAATCTGGATCAACAATGGAAAATCAGAATCTTGAAAATGGGCATTGTTAATCAGGACTGACACCACTAAAAATAATGTTATAGTGTGGGACTGATGCAGCCATCAGCCCAAAGCCTGCAGGAGGAGTGTGTAGCTGGAGCATTCCAGCTCCTTGGGGAGGCACATTCTGAGGGCAAGAGTTTCAAGGTTGCTGTACTTTGTGCAAAAGTGAGTTTTTCCCTTTTGGTGGAATACACCCTTTATTTCCCTTTTTGACTGCAGAATAATCAAGGATCTGACTTATACTACATCAGGTAGATCAAAATGCATCTACAGCCCCTTTTTGATGTTCAGATGATTAAGAAGAGTACAAAAACAGGGCAATTTCAAGGTATTTCAGGCCCTGGTACCTCCTCCCAGCTTCTCACGATCAGCTGATTTTGATTCAAAATCAAGAAAATTAAGCTTGGAGCACCTGAGAATTCTTCCCGGCTGCACTTGGTCCCAACTTTGTCTGTCTTTGATCATTTTCTTGTTGTGGTGGGTCAGTTTTCCTATTGGGAAATGTATTGTGTGTGTAGGACTGTGCCTACACGGACCCAGTTACCAGATCAAATCCTGCTTACAACATCAGCCATGGCACTTGTGATAATAATCTATTCTGGTTTTACAGTCATCAACACCCATCAGGGTAAACAAGAATCTTTCCACTGACCTTAACAGGAGCTGGAGCTGATCCCAAATAACCTGGAGTTTGTAAGCCTGAGTTTTCATCTTCTGCAATGCTACAAGAGTGATATTTATTGAAATTTAGCAGAAAGAATTGTTATTAGTATGCCAGGCTAAATATAATTCCATCTCTTTAACGTGCTGGTGTGGTACCATTAATTTACAAGACAGCAGAACAGAGTGGTGACATATAAATCTGAAATCCTGATTAGGAAAATGCACTCCAGTTTCTGAATACCCCTTCAGTGACATTTCTTTCCAATAAAACAGCCTATCTCCAAGACAGAGATGTTTATTTTATAATCCCTATTTAGAAGATGCAGCTTTTTATGTCCGGTATTAAACACAGAGGGACTATTGTTGATAAAATAGGATGCTTGGCTTCTTTTGTACCACAATGAAATCTTTCCTAGGAGAAGAGACTAGAGATGATAATTTCAGAATCCTTGTGAAGAAGAAGGGAAGGGTGAGTGCTGAAAGAAGCATTATTTACTCTTTTAATTGATGAGTTTTCCTGTAGCACTTGCCAGCCCAAAATCCAGGAAATTCTCATGGAACCAGAGCTTTCTGCCCAGTAACACTCAGGCAGATGTTCTTATTTCAGTGTCATAGGCTAAACCTGAGGAGGGAGGGGTTTGAGTGACACTGTCAATGGGCAGCAGGAAACAGTTCATTGTCTGAATGTCCTCCAAGCAAGTGACCAACCCAAGCTTTCATGGCTTGTTTTGGCTAATGGAATTTGTTAGTGACTGCTCCATCAGCTGAAATTGCAGAGGCTCAGAACAGGATGGGACAGAACGCTGACCTGAGCAGCTCCACCACACACTCTGGTGACTTTTAGCAAGCTGCTTGGACTCTTGCTAGGTGTTAAACACGTTACTTTGGACCTCTCTTGAAAGGGTCTGCTGAAACTGAAAGTTTAAGACTGTGAGATTGTTCATGGAAGTATTTGGGAAAATCCAAGATATCTGCAGGAAAAAGCCCTCCAAAGTTTAAAAAGCCCAAATCCTCTTTGATCTGGGTATGGCCCTCTCAGTGTTGTTTCAGTCCTTTAAACTGGCAGATAAAGACTTCAGTAGAGCTGAGGATCTTGCCTGAGGAAATTAAGCTTTTCAGGAAGCAGGAAAAGGAAAGCTGCTTTTTTGCTCCAGAGGAGCTCTTTGCCACCTCAGAGAGAAAGAAGCAGAAAATTTTTCATTATGCTTATGCTGGAGAAGCAAAAAAAGACAATCTGCTTTCTTTTTAGAGAGAAACCTGGTGGCAATAGGAGAGAGAAGAGCCACCATCAAACAAAAACATACACAAGAGATAAAACCATTACACCTAACATTCACACTGGCATCCTGCTCTGGGAGCTCAAAGAGCTCCTCAGACATTAGCTAATGACATTTGGCACAATCCTCTCATCTTCCATGCAGGCAGACACATTAGGTTGCCTCCTCAGCTGGTATAAAGTTTGGATTTTGGCAGCGTGGCTCGTGCCCTCCAGCTGAGGACAAGCCCCTTTGTTCCCATTATTTTTTATATGTGATATATAAATAAATGTCATTTATTAATGAAATTTCACAAACTCTGCAGTTCCATACAGTGAGGAAGGACCAAGATGAAGGTTCCACCCTCTGTAAGCACAGTTTAACCTGGAGCTTCCAAGCTGCTAAATTAAGATTTCTTTTTGTTGGCCACAGGGTAACACAACAGCCCTGACAATGAAACTTGACCCAGATCATGGTGAAACAATCCCAGAAGAACAGCAGAACTGGAGGCTCTCAAAACCTGTGGAGGGCTGCAAGGAACTCGAAAGAAATAGAAGCAAATGCTGGAATTGAGGTTTCAGAGATCAGGAGACCTGATCGTGCTTATCTGCCAGAATCACTGCCATTGATCTGTCTGAGCAC